CGGGCCGCTGGAGGAGCCCCAAGCCAGGGGCTCCCCGACCTGCTCCGCTTTCTGTTCTTCGGAATGCACGGCTTCCTGGACGAGATCTTCTTTACCTTCTTCTTCAACGTGCTGGGGCAGGGGGACGGGACGAGCAGCGGGCACACGTCGCTTTGGTCCTTCTTCATGTATGGCAGCTGCAGTTTCGTGGTGGAAAAGCTCTACTTCCACCTCCACTACAGCCGCGGCTGGGGCACCTGGAAGCGGGTGCCCATCTACGTGATCTTCATCTACGCTTGGGAGTTGTCCTGGGGTCTGGGACTTCGCACGTGCGGGGCTTGCTCCTGGGATTATTCTCACTACCCGCTGAATTTCATGGGCCTCATCACGCTGTTGTATTTACCTGGTTGGATATTCCTTAGCGTGTACCAGGACCTGCTTTCCAACGTGTTATGGCGTGTGCAGTACGTACCAGCTAACTAAGACCGGGAAAAAAGGAAAGAAGAAAAAGTCATTGGAATCCCTTGAATGAATGCAATTTATTTTTTCACATTTCAGTCTTTTAATTTTTATACACTTTACTAAACTCTTCCAATCTGTTTTCTTGGACATTTTAATTTTTCTGAGCATTTGGGACCTATGTACAGTACTTTGAAATACTATACTACTCGAAAATCACTGAAAGCATTTACTAACTCACTAATATTTTAAAACCTTTACAAGCCCAAACAGCGAAACCATTGTACCTTAATATCGGAATGCTGTAGTGTTCACTTGTCCAGATGTAGATGGGTGATAGCTATTAATTTTTCTTTTTTAATACAGAAATTCTTCAAATCAGAGACCAGTGATTTTTACAAGATTTAGAGCAATTTTCTTACTTTTGTTTTATTTTTAACCAGATTTTATGTTAATTCCTTGCTATACTTACCAATGACAGCTGAAACTCCTATGTCTTGTACTTTTGAAACTGCAGTTCACAGCTCTTAAAGTGCCTCTGTCTAGCACACAAGTGAAAAGAAGCTGAGAAATGTGGAAAAAAAATCCTATGAACAGATTTTGCAATGAGAAATCTTTTCTAACCACTCAGACTGGTGACACTGTGCTCAGATATTCGATCACTGTCCTGGAAATGATTGTTTTCCAATCATTCAGTTAGCCTTAAGCACCAAGTGTGTTGATCAGATCCTGTGTTATCCATAGCTGTAAAGTTTTGTTACTGTGTAGTAATGTAACAGTGTACCCCGTTTCCCCAGGGCCAAGTGAAATTATACCACCTTCCATAGTGTTCTAATGCTAAGGTACATTTTCTACGTGGAGATTCAAGCACAGAAACACAGTACCTTGGAATAAAATGAGCCTGAATGGTAACACTAATGGTTTTCTATGATTACAATACGTGTTTTCAGCATATACCTGCCATGATTCACTTGTACACATTTTATTTTTCCTCTGGGCCCAGAGTTCTTGGGCCAGGCCTAATGTGGTCATGCGCTCTGCAATTCAGTGGTAGCTTTTCGGTGACTTTTCAGTAGCTGGAAGCTCCAAAGTTAAATGAGATGATAGAAACCATTTTAAGAAATCATATCTAATTGATAAGGTACATGAATTTGTTTGGTGTTTGACTGTATTTGGAAAAGACAAATAGATTGAGCCTGGTTGAGCCAAGAATGACTAATACCTTCTCTGCTTTCATTACGAAGATAATTAAGAAAACTTACAGGGCATATTAGTGAGTAGGTCCCTACTTAAATCATCCATTAAGCTGTGAAAGAGACTTTTTGTTTTCAAAAAAATGTATGCTATGGGAACAGAAAAGAACATATTTAGACTTAAAGATAGTTCTGAGGGTATCATATTATTTTAACCCACTCTGAGACTGTGAGCTAAATTATAAGTCATTCTGCATAATGAGCCCCACCTGGGAGATGCTTCATGTCAAGCTGATTATTTTAGTCAAAGCTCAGGAAAATTGAAAAGTAACTGTTTGAGAAGAGTTTCACTGAAGTTTTTTATGACACTTAGTCACAGAGATTTCTGAAAACCCCAGGGAGAAAAATATCTAAGCAGTTATCTACGAAGTTAGGCAGATACTGAATTATGAAGTTAGGCAGATGCTGACGAGGTATTTGTAATTGAAAGGTGACACGTGCACGTGAACCTAATTGTTCTGTGGCACCGCTTCACAACACGGTCCTGTGAATATTTTACTGAATCCATTACTTTTTGAAATGTTTGCACTGCACCTTTCCCGTGCTGCTCCTGATTCCGCCAACCTGCCTGCCAGCACTCTCAGGGTTAAAAATGTGTCAAGAAGTAGCTCCGTGTGTCATTTTATCTTGCTTTTAATAGTAATTCCATTAAACAGAAGGGTCATAGGTTTCACCCATCCACTCAGTTCACCAGAGAAATAGTTTTTCAGCCTCTATTATTTGCTAGGCACTTCTCTAGAATCTGGGCTACCACAGTGAACCAACATAGACAAAATCTTGTTTTGATTTATGTGAGATTATACTTACAAGGCTGCTGTTTTCACAATAGGCTGTGAGAGGCAGTGGTTATGAGGACAGTCATCGGTACTGTCCCTGGAATATCAATCCATCATCTCTAACAAAAGTCCATTAACAGTCCCCCGGCTAGTTCTGCAAAGAGCCTGTTCTGTATCCGGGAAGCTATTAGTCTATCTATTAAATCACCACCTTGCTTGAGGACATCTCATTCCGTGTTTACAAAAGTTAATATTGACATTTTGCTGCAACCTTTGCACTTTTAAGGAAAAAGCAGAGAAAAGAAAGAACTATCAGATCATTTAATTTTGTTACTCATTAGTAGTTAAGATACAGAGCTGATAGGCAATATAATGATAGTTAATATTTACATGACATTTTTACCACCTGTCAGGACTTGCTCTAAGCTGTTTATATATATACTATATATCAAAAATTAAGTGGTTTTATATATATATGTCTTGTGAATATATATCATATATGTATATACTATATTTTAAATACAAATCTATATAGGTGTATATATTCACTTAAACCCCTAACAGCTCTCATTTTATAGATGAAGACAACAAAGCTGAAGCTCAAATAGATTAAGAAACTTTCTAAGTCATACAGCTATTGAGAGTCTAGATTTGAGTCCAGGTATGTGGGTTTCCAGGGTCTGTTCTGAGAAGCAACATGGTCAGGTCCCAAACTACTAGTCATAGTAATTTTGGATCTTTTATGGATTTCACTTCACAACCTGTATTCAGCTCTTTCACTGTTACAAGGTAACAAGGGTGCAAGGGTAACTGTATAAAAGCTACACACTATTACACAAACATGCTTTCATGTTGCCCTATTTATTTCATGGTAAGTAGGAAAGGAGCTAATAGCAGGATACATTACTGACAATCAGCCTAGTTCTACTCCTCAGATGATGTCTTTACATCCAAGCGGTGCTCAGAAATAGAGTTCCGTGTTTAACATCAAATTTTCATAGAAAAGTATAAGAATATTAAGCTGAGATGTAAAATACCTCATATCATAAGCTCTAAAACCTTATAACTGTTTCTATTATGTTAAATACAGTACTTAGATCAAGTATCACTATAAGAGCTAAGCTGCCAAAAATTATATATTTTGCACATATTTATCATGCATTTTACCAAATACTTGAGTCTAAAAAAGAGTTCTTAATAGTAAAAATATGAAAAAATAACAGCTGCAATTTTTTGTGTTATGTTTATTTTAACATATATAGTTCTGGAATTTGTTATGTATTAGAAGTGCTTTAAATTTTAAATCAGTTGTATTCATTCCTTTTCATCTGAAAAGGAATATAATGTTTCCAATTTCTCATTTTAACAATGAATACAGAAGTTCCAAAATCATGTTAGGCTCTCAATACGGTTGATAATCCATTTCTACATTTCAAACATTTCTGTGATTCAGTGTACTTAACTGTGACTATTTTCTTATAAATGCTTGATATTTCATGCTTCAATGTGACAGAGCACAAAGCTTGGAAAAATATGACCTGTCTTTTTTTGTTTAAGAAACATCTTTAATTAGATAATTCTACCTTCTGGGAGAAAAAGAAAAATTTCTACTGTTTTGGAATAATCTTTCGCATCGTGATGGCTTTATTCTTGCTAAGAAGGATGGTGAGGAAGAATTTTTGTAGGCTGCTTTTGTTCTTTACCCACTTCCAAAATATCCGTGAAAATCAATAACCTCGAATAGAAATTATACTTCTGATATAGGGTTAGAGTAGTAAATAAAGCAATGAAGTATAGTATCTGAAAGTATTTTAATAAAATCTATTTTCCTTATATTAAAAAGCATTCAAATTCTTTACTTTTTCAATTAATTTTAAATATACTGTAGCCAACATTGCTTCCTGGAGCAAAGCTCCAAACATGGTCTTTTTGCTTCCCTCCCCACATGCGTACCTTAGTTCATGCTGAAATGAAATAGCAGTTAAAGGTGATTCTGTTGTATTGCCAATCCTGCCTCCAGTTGGGCTTGGTACCAGAGGAAGAAAATCTGCAATTGTTTTAGAGGAGTGTACCTCTACTTACGGGATTTGCCCTCGTTCTAGTTTTTACCATTGAGACAACAAGCCCTCACACAGACAACAGTTTCGTCACCAACAACATAAATTGCAAATTAACCTGTGATGTGTGTACAGAAACTTTTCCTCAGAGAATATTTTTCTCTCAATGAAAAGAAAATATAAAATATAGAGAAAATTTCCAGCTGCGGGTACAGCTTAGCAGCACAGCTTCTACTTGGTAAGCACAACGTCCTGAGTTCGATTCCAGGTACAAAAAAAAAAATTTCCATCAACTTTTAAATTATCATTGCAAAAGTTGTCAAGGAAATTACCAGACAAGGGGGAGAAGAAATCAGTCCTTGATGAGCAGAAAGGTTTAATTTTCTTCTTACTTCATAACAATTCTATTACGGTGGAAAAAATCAAGTGGGTCAACTTTCCCCAATAGAAAAATATATATTTATGGTGATTAAGGAGACTTAGAGGTTGGAAGAAACTCTAAAGGTTAACAACATCAAGTCTTTTACCCCAAACAAGGATTTACAACTTGAAAGACAAATTCTCAACTCTGTTTCAACTGACTAGTCATGGCAGTATTAATTGTGTTTTTCATACAAAGACTAAGTGGAGGGAAAGCTGTCATCGGCTGAGTTAATAAGTTCTACTCTGTAGCAGTGAAGTAAGAGGGCTTCTAAAATGTTCTGAAGCTAATATAGACCATTCGGCCTTCTCATTTAATACAGTGAAACGTCTTTAAGAAAAGTTTTATTCATTTTTTAAAATCAGCATTTCATTCTTTGTCATATTTAGGGTATTCATATATCTTTTCAAATGATGTATGTTTTTGAGAACTTTGAGAAAACTACAATTATTTCAGAAAACAAAAACATATAAGCTGTGATATAGAAGTAGAAGAGCATTGGAGTTCTAACCAATGGACAAGTCCTTGGCTGGCTGCTCCATTCCACCTGCTGGACACCACCTGCTGGAGTTTCCTGGTAACTTCTCACCACAGACCTAAAGAACTGTAGCAGGATGGAAATTTAGAGGTCATAGGTGTCACAGAAACAAGTAGTCAGGAAAGATGAAAGATGCCGTGAATCAATCTGCCCACTCAAAAATGTGTTAAGTAAGAAGAGAATTAGCCTCACTTTTGATGGGATTCTGATAGGCTTCTGTAGTGTATGTAAGATACTTTATTAACATATTATTAATATCCATGGTAAATATGATAGTAATCTTACAGGACCTGGGATTTAGAACTTCAGATGTACATAGGAACATTATTTCAGAGAATAATATTGATAGAAACATGCATAAAGTTTATATTGTATTTTTGGTCACCCACTAACTTTTTGAGTCACTAACTAGTATATGCAGTTATGTATTTCTGAAGAAGAACCAGTATAGTCTTAAGCTTTTATTAGGAGTAATGAAAAAATAAGAAGAAAAAAAAAATGACCTTCCCAGAGTATAATAGAACAAGTACTCAGATTTCAACTACTCAAAAACGAGGGTTCCGCAAAATTTGTCATTGTCCTTAATGGTTTCTTTACAAAACTATGAAGCAAAAACCAAAGAATAATTGTGGAAGAAATTAAAGACATAGTGAAAACGGATATGAGGCAATGGACTTGGAGAGACTGTGTTTTATTTTTCCATGGCTGAAATAATTCAAACATAAATTCCACCCTAAGTCCTTACAGCATGCAAAAATTGCAACCCAAGGAAAATTGTAGTTATGAAATATTGCACACCTTAAATTTGGTAGAGTACCAAAATGAGCATTTTATATTTTAATATTTACTCAGGCAGGGCATGGTGGTGCATTT